TTATATATATATATATATATATATATATATATATATATATATATATATATATATATAGGAGGAGCTTTGTAAACTCCATCGGGGGTATCATGGAGGTATGGCTATCCTTCGGCACTGTCCATTGGTCACCTCGTTTGTTGGATATTATGGAAATTTTGTTTGGACGTTTTGAAGTTTAACGTAGCTCTAATTTCCATAATCCAGCAGAAAATTTGCATTATGATTTTCGGAGTTTTCCCGACATTCCCAACTGAAGAAGAATATTGTCTTTAGAAGTTATAATGTTGGGTGTTTGAATTTGTCTTTGAGTAGCATTCCTCGTTCTTGAGGCTATAGGTCCTTCGTGTTGAACTGATTTTTCCATTGCTTTCTCAGAAGCTTTCGGTTGAATTTTTGAACTTTCTTCAGCAGTTCTTTTCAAGAGGTATAGTGCATTTACTGGTCTATTGAGAAGTTTCCCGTTGGGCATCTCTACCAGTGCGTTTCTTGTCACTCCGTCTCTACCCCTTTTGAGTTCTTTTATCCTTGCCAACTTTCACAAGCCTCGAGGAGTTTCTGGTTCATCCACTAATACAATTTCTCCCTCTCTTGGCTTACGATCCTCTGTACTTTTAGGATTTACTTGTTCCTTTTGTGTTCTTTCCCTGAGACTCATTAAGTAGTCCCTTTTTCATGCTTCCCAAAATATATCGAGTACCTTAAGCGTCCCCAACCAGTATTTGATTATTCGTTCCTTTGTATCAAGATTTCCTAGTTTGAATTCGTCGTGGTCGTCATCCACTGTTGAGATAATTAAAGAGGCACTAGGAGAATAAAATCGATTGGGCGTATTATCTTGCAGTCATCGAAATTAGCATAAGTCAACGGCCGGGTATTCAGTACACCCTCGATCTCCATGATCAACGTCAAGAGTTCTCTTTCTCATAACAGTTTTCTTCCAATAGCTCTTCTCATAACCTTCTTGATCAGCCCTATCAGTCGCTTGTAGAGTCCGCCACTCCAAGGAGCTCTCGGTGTTATATTTTCCCAAACCATTCCCTTTTCTGCCAGGAATTCACCTATCCTGGTGTGTTCTTGCTCCTTCATGGGTTTGAAAACTACTTGAAATTGACTTGCATTGTCGCTCAAAACTCGTCCCGGATAGCCTTGTCGTGAGATGAATCTCCTTAGCACGTGTAAGAAACTTTCAGCTGATAAATTTTCTACAGTTTCCAGATGAACTGCTTTTCTTGTGAAGCATGTGAATAGGGTAATCCATCTTTTGGTTACTCCGACTTCGATTTTGATTGAGATCGGGCCAAAATAATCCAATCCGATTTTTGCAAAGGTCTTGAAGTAAAACTCGTGATTCAGGAAGATTGGGCATAGCTGGTAATTTAAATGGCTTAGCTGTCCAACGTTTGCAGCCCTTGCAGTCTGCTATAACACGTCTCACCTCTATTCGTCCTCTCGGTATCCAAAATTTGCGCCTCATTTTCGAAAGAACATGCGTTGTTCCAGAGCGATATGAAAAAAAAAAAGTTATAACTTTTCATGTTGCTGTCGTATCAAAAGTTCGGTAACCTTATTATGCCTCGGTAAGTAGATTGGATTTTGCTTTCCTCGTCTAGTTCCGAATTTTTCAATCGACTCTGTGATCTCCATAGCTTTCTGTCATCGCAGTACAAATTCCATTCTTCCCTTTCCTCCTCGTTGAGTCCTTCTGTCTGCGCTTGTCTAATTAGCACTCATTTGGCTAATTTAAAGTCCTCCGACGCCAGTCGTTTCACTTCTGCCGACATCGGTTGTATCCAATCCATTCTACCTCACCCTTTGTCGTGAGTTTAATAAATTTGAGAGCCCAAACAGTGGTTCTTACAAGTTTAGACCACTTACTGAACCGACTTCCATATATAAGGGAGAATTGTGTCACCTCAATTGTTTGAGAAGCGACCTTTGCAACGATTCGTTCTTCTTTGTCTTTTAATTCTTCTATGGACTGGTGTTCCCATTGGGGCCATCCGCTTTCGGGACCCGTTAACCACGACGGCCCTTCCCACCATAGCTTGTATTGCCTAAGTTTTACGGGAGAAAGTCTTTTAGTCGCCTTGGTACATATCGAAATGAAAAATTTACCTTTCATATTTCTTTTACTCGGTTTTGTATGAATTTGGGTAGTAATTTCGATCGATTTTGTATCCAGTGTAATGCACATTTCGAATTCGACCATGACACCACTGCGATTTTTTCCATACTCAATTACTTTATAACAAAGTTGTTTGTTGGCGGCTCGTACACCAGTAAGTATTGCTAGCAGCTTCAGCCGTGGTATGATCATACCTTTAATTGGAGCGAGTCTTGATTTGGCGAAAAATATTGCGCTATTTCTTTCGTCGACATGTTTGTTTAAAATGTATACAACTGCTGAATACGCAACACTTGATGCGTCCGTGAAGACATGGAGTTGTTGATCTGAGAGCTTTTTTGTAGCTAACCTCGGTATCTCGATAATGTCTGCGAGCCATTCCTTTGTAAGAGATCGCCATGCTTC